CAAGAAGCAGGCGTCTTTTAATTTTGTGGCTGCTGTCACCATCTGCAGTGATCACAGAGCCCAAGAAGGTAAAATCTGTCACTGCCTCCATATCTTCCCCTTCTATTTGCCAGGAGTTGACGGAGCCAGCGGCCATGATCTTCGTTTTTTTTGATGTAGAGCTTCAGACCATTTTTTGCACTCCTTTTCCAAATTTGAACCAATCAGTTGTTCCATATCCAGTTCTAACTGTTGCTTCCTGTCCCACATATAGATTTCTCAGGAGGTAGATAAGGTGGTCAGGCACTCTCATTTCTTTAAGGACTTGCCATAGTTTGCTGTAGGCCACACAGTCAAAGGCTTTTTCATAGTCAATGAAGAAGAAGTAGATGTTTTTCTGGAACTCTTTGGCTTTCTCCATAATCTTGCGTCTATTAGCAATCTGGTCTCTAGTTCCTCTGCCCCTTTGGAATCTAGCTTGTACTTCTGGGAGTTCTCGGTCCACATACTGCTGAAGCCTACCTTGGAGGATTTTGAGCCTAACCTTGCTAGCGTGGGAAATGAGTGCAATTGTACGGTAGTTGGAACATTCTTTGGCACTGCCCTTTTTTGGGATTGGGATGTAGACCGACCTTTTCCAATCCTCTGTCCACTGCTGAGTTTTCCAAACTTGCTGGCATATTGAGTGTAGCATCCTAACAGGGTCATATTTTAAGATTTTAAATAGTTCAACTGGAATGCCACCACCTCCACTGGCCTTGTTGTTAGCCATGCTTTCTAATGCCAATTCGACTTCACTCTCCAGGATGTTTGGCTCAAGGTCAGAAGCCACACTATCTGGGTTGTCCCGGACATCCGGATCTTTCTGGTACAATTCCTCTGTGTATTCTTGCCAAGTTTAAGCTTGAGTTTTGCTATAAGAAGCTGATGATCACAGCCAATCAGGTCCAGGTCTTGTTTTTGCTGAATGCATAGAGCTTCGCCATCTTTGGCTGCAGAGAATATAATCAATCTGATTTAAACTGTCTTGCCTTTGAGCCAGCTGATTTCTTCTCAAATCTTCTATCTTCTGCTCAGACAAAGACTTAACTTCATTACCTGCCAAATTTCAGACTGATCCATTTATCTATTCAGTATTAGTTCCCCCATAATTTTTGTGATAATAGTAGAACATGATTAATCCCAAATTTTCAAGAACAGAGAGCCTGGATCGTTGCTTCTGCTGTACCTCCTATATAGAATGCTTCAGATTTTTTTGTTATCTGTACTTAAAATGTGAACTGGTTAGTACACAAAGAAATCACTTGGCCATAACATCTGTTCTGTTAATTGGAAAAGGCTTCCATAGTTGCCAGTCCACATGAAAGTGAATGGGATACATGCTTATAAACTGAGATATGCATTTGGACAGAAGGATGATCCTCTCAAACCTATAGTCCCTGTTACTATTTATTTATTTAAAATATTTTTAGTTTGCCTTTCTCTTTAATGCAACCACCACCACCACACAAGGCAGCTTACATCATTAAAATAAAACGTGTAAAGCGACAACAGTAATTTTACAAATATTAAACATTAAAATGATCAAACAATACCACACGAAAAATGGAAAATAAAAGTAACATCAAAAACACATTTAAAGCAGTAAAGTCTTCTTTTTGTTGTTGTTGTTTCGTCGTGTCTGACTCTTCGTGACCCCATGGACCAGAGCATGCCAAGCCCTCCTGTCTTCCGCTACCTCCTGGAGCTTGGTCAAATTCAATGACACTGTCCATCCATCTCATCTTCTGTCATCCCCTTCTCCTGCCTTCAACCTTTCCCAACATCAGCGTCTTTTCCAGGGAGTCTTCTCTTCTCATGAGATGGCCAAAGTATTGGAGCCTCAGCTTCAGGATCTGTCCTTCCAGTGAGCATTAAGACTTGATTTCCTTTAGAATGGATAGATTTGTTCTCCTTGCAGTCCAGGGGACTCTCACGAGCCTCCTCCAACACCACAATTCAAAAAACATCAATTCTTCCGTGGTCAGCTTTCTTTATAGTCCAGCTCTCACTTCCGTACATCACTACAGGGAAAACAATAGCTTTGACTATTCAGACTTTTGTTGGCAAGGTGATGTCTCTACTTTTTAAGATGCTATTGAGGTTTGTCATCACTTTCCTCCCAAGAGTAAAGTCTTAAATCCATTTAAAAACCTGAATCAGGCACCAATCACTAAGGGAGAGCTTGCCTGAAAAGAAAGGGTTTTGCCTGCTTGTGGAAGGACAGCAAGGATGGGGCCAGCCTGGCTTCCCATGGAATATCAAAGTCGGGGAGCAGCAGCAGAGAAGGTCCTCTCTATTTATCTCATGTTGCTCTGCATGGCAATAGCGAAATCTCAGCTAAACAAAAAAGAAATGGATCCCCATATAAAATGTTCAATTTCAGTTTTATATACCATGAAGAAATGATAAATATATTGCAGATGAATTATCTTGTTGCCCCACTAGTCAACAAAAACACATTATCATATGAAAGAAATTTTTAATTTTTATTTTACATATTTATACATAAAACTTTCAAGGTAGCTTCTTTCCACCCAACCGCATGTTTGTTAATAGCACATCTAAAAATGAATGTCAGGTAGTCAACATTCACAAAATGTTGAAAACTGATTAAAATATACATATTACTGAAAGCTACGACTTCACTACGAGGCAGGCATGTATGTTCTTCTCTTTACTTGTATAGCACCGTCAAATTACAGTCTCATTTTTTTAAAACTACGGTTAAACAATAGTTAAGTAGTCAATGGTAAAATACTGTTTAACTTAAAATTCTCTAAATAAACAAAAATAAAAGTTAAACTATCCTCTTTTTTCTTCTTTCATGTTTGCAATGTTTATAAGTACTGTACATTTTGTTCTACAATAAGATTATTGAACTGTCCAATATTTAGTGGCACAAGTAAAAAAACCCCCCCAAAACCCCTCAACAGCAAATAAATTAAAAAGCATAGGCCAATCACTGGACATAAAGCTTCAGACATCAGGAACAAGTTACCAAGCACTGTGGCAGTGCATCCACCATTTTGTTTCAAGGGGGGGCTCGTGCAGGGTTCCTCGTGCTTGGCAGATTGCACCTGGAATCAATGACCGACACTGATTTTCTTGTGCGCCACGCGTGGAGCATCAGCGTTTGTACAACCACAGAAGCAAAATGTTCTAGCTGGTTCTTTTGTCCAATGGCTTTTCCTTTTATTTTGCTGGCATTTTCTCTGCCATGTGCTTCTGCTGACTTTCAGCGTGTCTGAAGGGAAATGGGAGGGAAAAAAAACTACATTATTAGTACATAAGAATCTGACATGAAGTGTGTTGTTGTTGTTTAAATACAGACCTTAAAAGGCTGCCTAGGAGAATAATATCTAGAAAAGAGCGAAACCTAATGCTATGGCTTGTGTTAATGCTATGTTAACTAGGATGCAACGGTTTAACTCATGTCTATTCACAAGATTATTCAAGATGGCAATTCCACCTCAGGGGAAAAAACAAACACAGTCTTCAGTTTTTTAAAAAAAGTTATACAAATATGGATGTTTTTGAGGTGTAAAAGGAAAAGGGAGGAGAGGTTCATCTCTTTCCTACAGAAGGAAAACATGTTTGTGTTCACACAATCTAAGGAAGCGGCAGTATGACCCTACATTACAACCAGTTTCCTTCATATTGTAACAACATTTCAAGCTGTAACAGAACAAATAAAATCATCATTCCACACCAAAAAATTATGAATAAACTGGCCTAGTGAAACAACTCATGGAAGATGTTTGCCTGGATGATTACATACTTATTAACTAAGGTAGCAAAGTGCTTTCAAGCATGAAGATTACGGTCTCAGAAGATTGTGGAAAAAAGTCAGCTTTGGCTACAATGCATCAAATGAGAATCTGGACTACCCGAATCCAGTCAGGACGGTTTGGAAACTTCACCATCTTTCAGCTTATCTCATAAAAATACTGTGAGGATAAAAAAGAAGATGGTGGAGAACACAGGATGGAAACCATGCATGCTTCCCTAAATTTCTGCTTACAATTTTTGCTTCACTTTTTACTCAACCTGAGTTTCAAACTAAAATCCCATCCAAGAAAATGAACTGCATCAAACAATCACAAACTGAAGTCTTTTTTCAATTTCCCCCAATCTCTTCTGCCCAAATGCTTCATTCCGAATCAGACTTTCCATGTGTGGCAACAACCCTGTGAGGTAGGACAGTCTGTGAGGGAGTAATTAGCCAAATATCACCAGAGAGTTCCATGTCTGTCTGAGGATTAATATTTATTTTTTCAATTTATATCCCACTCATCTAGACTGAAGTCTACTCTGAATTTGGGTCTTTCAAACCCATCCCAATATTGACTCTTAGCACTATATAGAGATACCCTGGATTGCTTGGCTTCACCACTGAATTATGGACCCTCTGTATCAGATGCTTCCCTACTCCTCTCCTTTAAGAATAATTCACTAAGGAAGGAATGAAAAGCACAAGGTGTGGTGATGGCCGTTCCCTTTTTTGTTCTAGTTGCAGAGAGCATGGACACTACATGGGGGCTCTCAAGTCTCAGCTGTCTGTATAATTTAGTAACTGGCAACGTACCCACCTTGCTGTGCCTATGAAGCAGATCAATTGTTTATTTTCATTACTATATCACCTGCAGCAGAAGATTTGGATAAGAACATGCAGTTGCACACTATTGTCATTACACTGACCTTTTCCTTTACAAAAGAAGTCCTCTGGTAGACACCAATGGAACCGTAGAGTTATTAGGGATAACAATGACAACAAACAGAGCAACAAAGATGTGATAAACACACAAAGCTAGCTATCTCAGGCTCTGTGAAAAGCTGACTTTTCTACAAAACGTCCTATACTGGAATGCAGAGGAAAGGCAGTGCAACCTCCCTGTTGCTCGCTATATATGTCTTGCAGCTAAACGATATTAAGATCTTAATCTGCAGGCACCATCTAATAGGATTACAGTCAGCTGGCAAGCCTAGGATATACTATTGCTGCACGCAGAAACCTTTGCACCTCATTGCAGCTGATCCTTCTCATACGATAGAGAAAGAAGCCTTATACCAAGCCAGACTATGTATTTGCTTAGTGCAGTACTACCTGTTCCGACTGCCTGTTGCTCTCCAGAAAACCTTCCTATTGCATACTTCACAGGCAATGGGATTTTTTTTTTGCATGCATATCACTCTGCTTTTAAGTTTCCTTTCTGTGAACATGATGCGTTCATGATGCGTTCATTAGCAAGGCTGTAAAATGGTAGTCACAGAAACTGTATCCCTGTTATCTTCTTGCATACACAAGCTATAGCAGGATATAGACTTGCTATGCAGCACAATAAAAGCCAGATCCTACAGATTCATGACCAACTGACCAAAATATACAACTTTTTATCTCGGCACTATTGATAGGTAGTGAGGCTCATTTTTCTAATGAACATGCAAGTGCAGCCCATTTCTACTGCAACCGCAGTGATCGCCAATGGAAACTTTTTTCTCAGAGCTACTAACAGTACGAAAGGGCGCATGGAGCAGAGGAGGAAGGAGATTAACTTTTCTTCCCCACACACTGCAGGCTTGATTAATTTTCCCCTCCTCTCATGTCTGCTACTAATTACAGACTTCCTAATTATGTGTTTATTGTCTTGTCTATTTTGGCTCTCAAATGGCTGCGTATATGAGCCTTTAGTTAAATCAGGCTAAAAATGCATTTCTTAATTTTCTCCATAGATGGCAGACAAGGTATTTTAATGCTAGCACCCATCTTCCATCAGCACAGTTTTGTTTTGACTCAACTCCAGGATGAGCTCTTATAGAAACTGTATCATAAATAGCTGGTCACTCTCTTTCTTTCACTCCCTCTTTCTTTCTCTGTTCCTAAATCATCCAATTTTGAAACGAGACTTTATCTACCCTACTGTGACTACAGCCTCTGAACCATTAAGGGCTGCTGCTGTTGTGAGTTGGTGAATGCAATTTGTGTTCAATGTCTCTCTTCATTAGTGAACTTTGTCCTTTAAAAAGTTCCAAACCTCTTGCATTCCCAAAGTACAATCTGTTTAGTGAGATTCAAACAAAAGATTGAGGGGGTGGAAGAAGAGAAAGCAGAAAGTATAGAGATGCTTCTCATATGTTTGATAGCCACAATCAAAATACTATATTCTGTAATCTAGGAGAATTAGTTAATCATGTGAATTCTTTCAAATCTTTGCAAATAACATTGGAAATAGTTTGGAGGATGGGGCAAACTATATTTTTGCAAGGCTCTAGAAGTTGTTTTCTAGAGTTACAAAAGTGTCAATAAAGTGGAAAAGCTGACAGACAGGAAGATGTAGGAGATGCAATATAGAGTTTCTTGCTATGTTAGAACAGAACTTTCCATAAACAGACAATCTGAGAAACATGGAAGTAATCTGGAACAGTGGGTGACAGAGGATTTATAGAAGGGAAAGACAAAAGGTTTGTACTGCATGAGTTAGGGTCTGGATAAGCTGAGATTGGGTAAATTGAGGTTTTACTGTATTTTACCTTGTCTGCAGCAATGGTGCTAAATTATCATGGTATTGATAGGGGGCCGCACTGCAAAAGAAATATTACAGAAAAGAAACTGGGTTTGCTTTGGTTCAATCAAATTTCATCTTTGCCTGTAGATGCTGAACAAATTTGTTCCCTCTTAAAGGTAAACACTAGTACAGGTTGAGAAGTATTCCAGAGAGACATCAGACAAGTGCCGTTAACAAAGGTAATTTTGTTTCATGCTGTTTTTAAGATTCTGTGATTGAAGGTAAGGGAAAAACTCCATCCATCTCATAGGCTGGATTCCTGCTTTCACTGTAGATCATGTTAATTGTGAATAGCTTGTCACCCTCTCAAAATTCTTCATCAGGTTCCACCCTTGAAAAACAGAATGAATATGTTTTTGCACCAGAAACATATACAGTCTTCAGCTGTTGCCATTGCTATAAACCTTTCTTCCTTTAGGCACCTGAAATGGGAAAACTCCCAGGTCAAGTTGAATATGAAGACTACTTTTTTCTACAGAAAGCCAGCAGACCAGGCTGAGTATTTAATGACATATTTTCTGGACGGAGGGAATACATCATTAATTGCACATGCTGCCTATACAGTGAAGGAAGAAATGAGAAAAGGAGCTGCAAGATCTTTAGAAGAAAAAACTTTGGAAGGGAAGCAAATGTTAGGAAGAGAAGATGGCAGCTGTTGAGTAATGAAAATGATTGGAGCTGAAATAGTAAAATGACTGGAATTCTGATCAAGAAAGACAGAGACATCACAAAGAAGTTCCAGAATAAAGTTTCTCTATTCACTTTCAAAATCACCCTTTTCATCTCCCTAGACTAAATTCACCAATTTATATGTTTCCTTCAGACAACATCCCCCGGGGAAAGAACTAAGGATCATCCTAACTACAAGCAATCAGTAGACACATCAAACATGGACACTGTATTAGGATCTGATTTGTTCAGCATCTGATAGGAAGAATAAATGACAAAACTTGTTCTACTGTTCATATCTGTAGGTTGTCCTCTGATTTTAAAAGATAAAACAATAACAGCCCAACGCTAAACAATCACAGTAAAAACTATTCAAATTAAATGAAAAAAATAGCCTCAAAAATCCAGAGACAAACATGCAACAATAGGCACAGTAGCAATACTCACATAGGCACATTTTAATGGTTGATGTTCTAGTTAGAGGGTGAGGCAGAACACAGTGATTACTGGATTTTTTTTTTTTTACAAAAAATGGCGGAAGAGCCACTCTTGCTTCTTTGTTTCAATAGCTCCATGTGCATCCTGCCCTTTATCTGGCACCTACTGAGCCTAAACCAGTTAATGCACAACACTTCCTGCATTCCAACTCTTAAGCTTGTTATAAATGGCAGGCTTTGAAGCAATAACATCTCCCCTAATCCTAACTTACATTTTGCTCAGTATCCAGCTTGATGAGAAGTTCTGTAGAACCCCCAAAGACTACATATGATTCAGTGGTATTTTGGCTGGAATTGAAACACTTTTTGGGATATGATCCAAGTTGTCATTGATCAGTTTGACCATGATGCTGCTTGAAAATATGTTAGTGCCCAAAGTTCAGAGAGTGTTATTCCCCAATCAGTGATATGCTGGCATCATGAGCTAGATTTCACCAACAGAACTTATTAAGAAATACTGCCCACCTAGTCAAGTCCTCAATGTCTACCAGCATGGCATCCTGTTCTGTGTGCAATTCATCTCGAATAAGCAGCAGCTGCACCAATTCTTCATTCAAGCCTGATGGAAAAGAAATACAGGAAATAAGTGTCAATTATTTCCTCCTGCAACAAAGTTGTAAATCTGCTACAGAAGTTCATTCACAGAAACAGAAGGGCTCTCACTAGTTTTTGGCTTGCATATAAATAAGAAAGGGTATGAAGCAGAGATGGAGGTATTCGTACATAAATATCCTCCCACGGGTGCAAATAATCCACTCTCAATTGCACCGCTGCTGTGAGCTCCGTGCACCGTTCCTATCACTCCAGAATGCACGATCGGTGAGCCACTCTTCGACCTGGCAGAGAGGCTCATCATCTCGCCTTCTGCCAGGAGTGGCTAATCCATTGCAAGCTTCGGAGTGATAGGAATGGCGTGCGGAGCTTGTGGCAGTGGTGGAATTGCGAGTGGACAGTCTGGCCCCACGGGGCCGGACCCTCATTATCTGCACCTGCGAGGGGATACTTGTGTTCGTGTACGAATAACCCCATCTCTAGTATGACGTCATGAGTGAAGACCAATGAGCAGTATTGTTAAGAATATGCTTTAGCTAAATACCAAGTGACACAATCTCAGTGGCCATCATTGGATTTCAGCAGCAGCAGCAACACCGCCCCTGTTGCTCAAATATGATGGCAGCTGCTGAGGTTTTCAGTAGTGTTGAGATTAACTATCAACTTCAATAGTGTTGAAGTTAACTATCAATTACAACTGGCTTTGTGCGGTGTAGATTTCGGTGTGCTATGGTGGAGTTGTTCCAGCAGAAGCAAATGGGGAAGGTGGGGTAGGTCTGCATATAGTTCCCAGTTTGTATGTTACCTACTCTTGGTCTAAGATTTCAGCCTGTTGGCACAGAGGTATAAAATTAGCTTTTGCTCTTTCCAGAAGCATCACTGCATTGTGCCCATATCATGTAAGAGGAAAACTGCTATAGTAATTCCTCACTCCCTTAAAACAAAGAAAAAAAAGAAACATTTCTCAGGACTATGAAGCTGCAGATGAAATCCAGAACACAGATATCTGTGCTACATTTCAGATATTTACAGTGGTGCCTTGCTTGACGACGTTAATTCATTCCAGCGAAATCACTGTAGAGCGAAAACGTCATAAAGCGAAATAAAAAAGCCCATTGAAATGCATGGAAACCGTTCAATGTGTTCCAATGGGCTGAAAACTCATTGGTCCAGTGAAGATCCTCCATAGGGGCGGCCATTTTCGGGTGCCTGTAAAGCGAAAAATGGCTCCTAAACACAGTGAGGAGTCATTTTGTACACCCGGCGGCCATTTTGAAAGCCGACGATCAGCTGTTTTTGATCGTCGTAAAGCAAAAATCGGTTCCTGAAGGAGGGAACTGATCATCGCAAAGCGGATTTTCCCCATTCAAACCATCGTTTTGCGATTGCAAAAACATCGTCATCAAGTGGATTCGTACAGCGGGGCACGACTGTACTACTGTTTTGGTGAGTTTCACAAAGTCTCAAGCATGTTGGCTTCATCTCAATATTTCTGTTTCAGAAGCAACATGAAAATACATGGAACACATAATTTGGCATATTACAAATATGTAACGGTGGATTAAAAACCCACAACATCTTACTATGACTTGGTTTTTAAGATTTGCAAACCCTTCCTTTCTCATGCAGCCACAGGAATATGTCATAAGAGCTTCTTCCAAGATAAAAGTTCTCTCCTCAATACCAGAGGTGGTACAGTCCAGAGATGTGTCGTATACGTTGGAATCAGTTCTCATGTCTGAACAGCCTTTTCTTTCTCAGCTGAAGTCCAATGGACAATGATAGAAGGAAAATTTAATATTATTGCGGAACAACTGTCTTCTACTTACTTTCTATCTGTGAATGCAGATCATTGACAATCACTTGTAGCTGGCCAATTGTCATATCTCTCAGGTCTGTGGGTTTTAAGCTTCTTTTCATCAAACATTCACTTATATGAGGCATATGTGGCAGCTAAAGATAACACAGAAAATACACTATCAGCAACACACAGCTTTATTAAATGAAGTGTCCTTAGCATGTTTATTGTATGCTGCAATAGTAACAACTGTAGATGAAAATTTACTATATATTATTTACTCCGGGCACTGTATGGATGTAACTTCTGCTACCACCACCACTATTATTACTACTGCTACTACTAATGTGCTGTCAAGTTGATTCTGACTTATGTCAACCTTTTCTAGGGTTTTCCAAGTAGAGAATGCTCAGCAGTTCTTTACCATTCCCTTCTTCTGGTAGCACCACGGGACTATGCAGCTTCCTCAAAGCCACACAAGCTGGATCTACTTATAGTAGGCAGAGTGGGAAATCAAACTCCCAGCCTCTGGCTCTGCAGCCAGATCTACTATAGTTTTGCAAATGAAGAATAGTACAAAAAAGTTGAGGTAAACCCTCAAGGTTTTTTTTTTTTGGAACAGTGTGCCGATACAAGGCTACATATATGATAGCATCACATGGTGGAGCTCTTCCTTGACAGCATGATGTCAGATTACAAGAGTGGGTGACGAGAGCAAAATCTTAAACTGCCCTCATGGCAAACACTGGAATATCAGAGAAAAGGCTGAAGGAGCTGGTTGATAAAGAGGGTTCGGATACAGATGATCTCATAGTTTCTAAATGCCATTTGCACAGTACTTTCTATTCTATACTTACATTTTTGCCTAAGGCCTGAAAGATGTACCAGTGTGACTCAAACATAAGAGGCAAATTTTGGCCAAACCCACATTGGTTGCATATGCTGATACCCTGGAGATGATTATTAAAAAGACCAGAGTTTTTTTTGGGGGGTGGGGGTGGGGGCCAAAAAGAGGCAGAGTTTATTTCCATCATGGTACACAGAGGTCTGGACATTTAGTTTAACATATTCAGACCAGGCCACACAGATTTTTTTCACCCCTATCTGCTATAACTTTGGGGTCAGGCAATTACAGAATAACAATCAGAATTTTACAGAATAGCAATTGGAATTTTTTAATGGCATGAAATTTTATTCACGCATTTGATCCATACATTTGCTCTGGTATTACAACCTGCTTCTATTAATGGTGAAGTTACTTGCTTTTCTGAACTCAGAAATATAAAGTGATGCTGAGGATGCCAAAGATGGGAGCTACTAGAAGGCATTGATTAAAGCAACCAAGCAAACAAACAAAAACCCAACATACAAGATCAGCTACTGGAGATTTTTTCCTGTTCTGTTTTTCCACTTCGACTTGCATTTTGGCCATTGGTTTTGCCATCGCCAAGGCCATTTTGGCTTCAGCTTGAAGTTTCTTTTGTCTTGTGAGAAAGTCCATGTCATCCAGGGATTCAGATTCCTCCTCAGTAGTGTCTCTGTCAGAGTAGGAAGAGCTTTGCTTGCTCTAAAAGTGGACACAACATAAAGATGTCAGCTCTAAAAATGAATATATGGAAACAAGCAGATTCAGCAACTAATGAATGGATGAGCTAATTAAAATGACACTATTAAGCAGTGCAATATGGACAACATTTAAATACACTCATCTGAAACGTATCTCAACCAATTCGCTCAGACTACACCAGGCTTTGTTACTAAGCCTTTGCTGGAATGGAACAGGAACCAATCCATATCAGCAGCCATGAGCACAAAGGAAGAAATCATGGTTTTGATTCTTTGATCTGAAGGTTAGATGTGGTATTTCTATTTGAAAGCATATTGGTCAACAGGGCTGAGAGAAAGAGTGCCCGAGACATTAAAAAATTGGTATAAACTTAGTATTTGGTGGATAGCTAAATGGAACACTGCAATGACATTGTTCTCTATATGTATTTCTTTATATTTTGATACAATTGATCTAATAAGCATGCAAATATGCCAGGTTAATTGACCAAGGCTATGAATAATCAGTGGCTCCATGTTATTTTAAAGGACCTGTTCACCACTGGAATGCAACTCTCAAGAACTCCTCTGAAACTGAATCTAGACCTTTGGCTGAAAGACATTCCCCATAGTTGATGGAATGAGAATGAAGCTTACAATTTTCATTGTAAGTACAGTATACACATAGGAGACTTTGCACCAAATTTGGCAAAGTCATTCCTTTGCATTACAAATCTCATAATCTCCAAACCAATACTGCCTTTTCCCCGGGGTATTCTGAATTTTAAAATGCAAAATTCCCGAAGTATGTGAGATTCCAAAGTTTTAGTGGAAATCCCACTGTGGTAAGAACACTTCTCATTAGCCTCTGCTATGCAAGATGCCCCCAAACTATTCACTGGGGACGGAAATGCACCTATGCCTATTGGGACACTCCTGAACACTCTTAATTCCTAAGGGCATTATCTTGGTTCTGCCTTTGCCTCATGATCTTAATTTATTAAAAAGGAATTCTGAAAACAATGATAGCCCATTTGAATTGTTTGCAATGTGCAGTTTGATGCCCATCCTTTTCCAGAGCTTTCTTTGAGCTTGCAACTAAGACTTACCATGGGGGACAAGGGTGTATCCAGACTTGTTTCTGTCTTGCTGTCATCAGCATCACTGTCTTTGTCACTGCCACTGTCATTTACAAAACAAATCTGCAAATTCATCCCACTTTGTAACCTTGGGGAAAATTGGGGAGAGAGTGGATTGTCATTTTCTGCAATAATACAAGATGTACCGATCACTAGAAAAGCATTAAGGGATTAACCATTTTGTCTATGAAGAACTCATACCTCCAGATTATTTCTGATTATCAGATTATTTCTCATTCGAACCATTCACACTCCAATGTGACATTGTGGTCTATGGGTAGTCAAACAATGCAGGCTGCAATCCTATACACAGCTACTTGGGCATAAGTCTTACCAGGACTTGCTTCTGAGTAGGTATTTACAGGATTCTCTTGTTGACTTTCTGTCAGCTTTTGAGATTTAATTATTAAAGGTAGCTTTAAATAATTTGTTCTTTGTCATATTTTTAAACATAAGGAGGGAAAGACTCTGGTGTATGTCAGAATTTTACTGTATTTCAGAGACTAGGGTCCACAATAAAAAACATGATTCTTTATATTCACCCTTTTAGTCTGCCTTGGTGCAGCAATTTTTAACAACATGGACCGAGAGGAGTATGTAGGACTGATAGTGGATTGCTGGGAGAGACATTCCAATAAGTACTGAGGTCTTAAACCATATGTTTCATTGATTCAGTGGGTCTAATCCAGTTGAAGCTAAAACAATCTGATAATACTGACCCAACACTGATCATCCAAATGTACTGACAACAAAACAGGTAGTCTGAAGTAGTATGGCCCAGAATAAACTTTACTAGGTGATTTACTAGAGTGGTCTTAACCGACCAGATAGGCGGGATATAAATAAAATAAATAAATAAATAAATATATACAAGCTGACTCTTGAAGAATTGCTTGCCTACATTCCCATTCTCAGTGAGAAACACTTTCAATAGCTGTGTGGTGATTTTGAGGCTCTCCCAGCACTGAATTCTATTAGTATATTTTCAGAGGGTTTTTAGGATACAGGACACAAAGAGACAGCTGTTCGAGTGAGAATAAAATGAGGGAGGTAATCTTAAAAAGTATGGGATATCACCATAGTGCTACTTTATTCCTGTGAGAAAGTAGATAGGATGTCTTATACCTTAAACCCTGTAATTTCCGTACCTTCTCCTACTGAGGTAAAAACCAGGAGTGCTACAATATGGGAGTGGGGGGAAGCACTATAGCTAATAGTTTAGAAAAAGCTATTTGAAAAAGGATATGCAAGCTTTTAAATAGGGTTTAAGTTTCAAAGTGAGTTTGTTAAACTTCATTGGCAGAAATCTACCTTTAACTCTCTTTTTAAAAGGTGTGTGTGTCTCTTTCTGGTTGTATACCCTGCCAATATATATTCTACACACTGGACCAAGAGAAAAATGGACAGATGATTCTCATCCTTTCTTTTCTGATATTAAGACAATTAATAGACGTGACCACTTCTGGCATTTCTCACATACATAGGTAAGTAATTGGACTTTTTTCCCAGCGCTGTTGCGAAATTCTGAGATTAGTTGTATTAACTTTCCTCTGTCCCAACATCTGGCAAACTACGTTCTGCTTTTCTTCCCCCATTCCAAGATAGGAGCTGTGTCTACCTCGACTGCATGATGTCCAGCCACATAACATCAAAGACAACAACTGTGCATTGCTTTACATATTTCAAACTTGGCCACGGCTTGTATTTCTGCCAAGTTAAACTGGGTCATAACGATGCATTAAGCAGGATATGAGGCTGCTGGAGAAAATGGTAGTCTCATGTTGAGAAAGGGACTCCTTGATTGCTGTCATGCACAGAACCACTTAGCCATGACATGAGAACATACAAATGTTCTTATACTGTGTCATCAGAAGCTTCTACTGGCAGTAGTGAGAAAAGTCATGACACAGGGTAAGTGAAGTTACAGCTCATGGGGAGGGAGTAGAGCAGGATAATCCAATATCTATTTTTATGAGGTTCTGTACTGCATTTTTATTTTTCTGGTATGTACTCTATCTCTATTTAAATTATGATTGTCTTTGTGCTAATTGGCAGTTTTTAACTAGCCAGAAACACAATGAGCTTATATTTTTTTTACTCCTGATGGTAGTGGTTTAGAAGCCTTATTGTATAGATGGCCCTTCAAATTAAGTTCTTAGATCCTATGCATCCCCCTGCCAAATAGGTAAAGAAAATCTTGATACTAGGAAGCAAAATTAAATTAGTGCTAAATGATAGTCAAAAATTTTACTTAAAAGAGTTCGTACCACATTACGTTTTCAAGGAGTAAGATTTTTCTATCCACTTTTTCGGATTCCCCCCCCCACCTTGGGTCCCTAAATGCTGTACTGCTGTATGCTGCTGTATTTTTAATTGATGTACTATTACATTCTTTTCATTTTTAAATATTAACTGTGTTTTAATTCCATAATTTTACGTTATTCTTTGCAACTATTTTTTAATTTTTGTTGTAAGATACATCAACCTCCAGCTTTGGGAGAATGGTGGGATGTTAAATAAATAAGCAAGATTCAACTGTAAATTATCGTATACAAATTTTATGCAAACCCATGTCCTCCTCTGTCCTCTTTTTATGGTCCTCCATTTTGATGGTCTGTTAAGTGATCATTGTAGTGGAAGCCACATGTCCTCTGTGATTTATATGCTGTGCCAGACTCAGAAGGTCCATTATTCAACCCCTGGCCATTTCCAGACTGGGCTAAGAAACATGCTTACCAGAAAACCTGAAGAACTGCTCCTGATTGATTCTGTACTGAGCTAGATGGGCCAGTGGTCCTATGTCCCTATGTTTTCCTTTCTCTTTTCAATTTTAAACCCAGAATACAAATGAGCTACATAAAGCAACCTGCTTGAGTTTCATTTCAATTATAGGGAGAGAGGGAGGAAAAGCGGGGGAGGTTATGTATGCAGGATTATTATTACAATACTTTGAGATTCCCCCCCCCCTCCGGTCTAGACAGATTTACTGGATTATTTTAGCAAAGATATTACCAAGCGACAGCTGTACTAAATTGGGAATTCTAAAATAGCACAATCATTCTGAGTAAATGAATGGAAAACTACAGGCAAATAATGCAAGGTCTTCCCACTGAAAACAGTTTACACGCTCGAGTAAATACATACACAATTGTCTTTAAAACTTGCATATCCAATTTGTTTTACCTTTTGATTTACAGTGGCCCATAAAAATGGAAGGCAAGCATAGATGTGTTTCATTTACTTCATTTTAGAGAGCTGTGACCAGCTGCTGTTGCTTATGTGTCTGGAACAATAATTTTCTATTCACCTGATTAGTTTTGAATGCTTCCCCCCTTCTAAATTATGACTGCCAAATTCAAAGGAAGTTTCTTTACACCAAGACCAGTCCATCATTTTTATAAACTGCACATATAATGCCTGCCCTAAACTATTGTTGTGTATTATTCAAAAAGTATGTATCCTCTTCTTTAAACAAATAGCAATACGTATGCTAAACCGAAGTATTAAAATAAAATGTCAGCAAATACAAATACCAGAATATCTGGACAGCAAGCTGTCCATAAATGCTACCTAGATACACTGAAAAGAAACTGTAATGATATGCATAAATACAGACGACACGTGTATTTCAACTTCTATCAACTACTTCTACTCTGAAGAGCTTGGCAGTTGTACAACAGCTCAGTTTCGCCTCTTCATGCAAATCCCTGTGAGATCCCCCATAAAGTGTGTCAGTCAAGAGGCTTTAGTCAGAACACAGGTAATAAATACATTCACAGACCCTCCCTTCAAGCCTTATCACAACAGTTACATGCAGATGCTCCTTACTGAGGCTTTGGCTTGTAATCTTATTGTTTTAATGACACCCACACATATTGGCCTCTTCCTTTTAGAATAAATGATTGGGAAGCAAAGAAATACTTTCGCTTTATCCATGTAGACGAGACAATACCAACCCAACCTGCTTTCGGGCACAGTGATTTGAATTTCACAATTCCATTCATTTAGCAGAACCTCAGACAACAGTTAGGTCGATGTGTTTCTTCTTCCAAAGACAGAGGAAGCAGTATGTGTGTGGTTTTTTTTTCATAAAGTAGACCAGAATTACTAGTGTGTTGTTGCAGACAGAGTGACAGATAAGGACTCAGAAGACCTGGATTCGAATCCCTGTTCAACCATAGAATCCTATCCATAGGTGACTGGTAAAACTACTCCTTAAATATCTCACTTTCCTGATAGCCCCTTTAGGGTTCCTATAATATGGTTCTCATTTGGTGGCACATAACAAACACAGGCCATAATTAGTACACTTTTGCTACATTAATTAACTAAGGGAAAGGATCTCTCTTTCTGATTTGACCCATAGACACAAAAGGGAGTATGATGTGGCTGGCTCGATTTTTCCAATCTGATACTATCCTGAGAGCTATACTCCCTCAGAAACATGGCCAAAGTGGGAAAAGGCATGGCCAAATTAGCTAGTTATTTTTTATTTTCAAATTTAAAAAAAGAACAGTTAAGTACATTCACAGACTATAGTGATTAATTGACTATAATATTATTTTACATTAGTATATTATTTATAAAATTGTAAGGTGTTATGGTTTTGGACTGTAGGACAGCAGAGACGGGACCAGCCTGGCTTCCTGTGGGTGGGAGTTCCAGAGTCTGGGAGCAGTGACAGAGAAACATCTGAAAATGTATGTTTTTACTAACATTTGGCCGGGCTGAAAGACTGCCTAAAGACTCCTAGTTAGATCATGGGAGAAACAATATTTGAATCAGGACCTTTTCCCCGGTGCAGAGTTTAGCTATTTACATATTATGCTATCTTCTATGTTATCTAAATGTTACCTGCTGTATATTATCCGTTATATCCAATTAGCTTAAAACTGCAGGGAAACTATCCAATTCCAGCAAAAGATGGTTAAAGGCTGTAAAGCAGTGCCTTTGTAACTGTTTAATCAGCAGACAATGCTTTTAAACATTATATCATCATCATCATCATCATCATTGTTTATTACGGTCACAGACCAGCAATATTATAAAAAAATACAGAACATACAGAACAAAACTCCTTTATGTAGT